ACTTTCCTCATTTACTATTCTATTTATATGATATACTTTCGCCTTAAAAATTCCTTTCATAAAATTAATGTTTACACATTATCCACATTACAATTATCTGATGTTATTAATGTAGATTTGGGATAATTTTGGCAATACAAGATTATGCGTGAAGGATTTTTTCTCTTAGAAGTATTGGATACTGGTGAAATTCACAAATGTTTATTAGACACACACACACACATACATACACACATACATATATATATATATATGTATATATATATATATATGTATATATATATATATATATATATATATATATATATGTACTATATATATATATATAATAGTATATATATATATATTATATAATACTATATATATAATATATTATATGTGTGTGTCTTATTGATCACAGCCATTGCTCATTCTAATTTCCCTCTCCTTTTTGTAGCGTATCTGGGTTTTTTATGTATGTAAAGATATATATATATTATATATATCCTATATATATATGATATATATATCTATATATATAATAGAACCATTTAAATGAAATAAAGTACAAAGAAAAAAATTAGAAATATAAATTAAGAAAGGATACTCGTGGAATTTCAGAGAAATTTTTTGTTAGTGGAATTTCAGTTGATTTTACTGCCGATGCTTTTTACAAAACATTCACCAATGATTCAAATTAAAAATCTACTGCATTGTATTCTATAAAAATATTTTTATCATGTTAAAGCGACTACTACAAGGAGTTTCCCTCTCACAACAGTCTGATGTTACTGCCATAGCGATCAAACTAGTTGTATAATGGTCCCCTAATCTTAACAGAATATCTCGCTGATTTATGAAAAGCATAGTGTTGAAGAAAACAAGGTCAATTTAGAAAAATCATTAATCTTATATGAAATAAATACATCTCTTGATGAATTCTTAAGAAAATAGTAAAACATTAAAAACACTTTTTTGGATTCCTGAGCATTAGCGAGATTTCAAAAAATATTTGCTGACTTTGAAGAAAAACTAGTTTCTTAATGAAATGTACATTAATTATTCGCATCGAAGACGGTGCAAATAAAGTGGGTTTCTTCTACCTACTGTTTGATTATCTTTAAACTCAACATTTCATAGATTCTATATTTTGCAGAAAAATAGAATTATTTTTATTAAGATTATTATTTACTTTTCTGTATATGGTCTTTTCAAAAAATTGTCAGACTGAATTTGGCCGTATTTGAAAACAAAATTATAAAATAACTGTTTTATATGAATATATTAACAGCAACTTTTCTAAAATATATTAATTCCATCTTCATGCATAATGTCAAAACAAGTAATTAATACAATATTCTTCAAAATAATTTTAATAAAATATTTTATTAATTATTTGATTTTATATTAATTCTTAAGATGGAAACGCTGCTGTTAATAATTCTAATTACGCTAAACTATTTCATAAAATACCTCTTTGGCAACAAGAAACAGACATAAATAACAGACAGAAATAAATTGACAGAAACAGACAGAAATAACAGACAGAAATAACACAAAACATTGCAAGAACCTATAAAAGAGAAATTTATCTGATTAAATGACCAATTATTGAAAACACAATTTATTGTCATTAGCCCAGCAAACTCACAATTTTTGACATCTCACTATTTGAGTACTGGCGTGAAAGTTCATAATTTCTTTCGCAGCAGACCCATCGGCGCTATTTCAGAATGCTTTAGTATTTTTTTTATTTCCCTGTTGCTTTTTACCATTTTTGGGCCTTTCAATTGACTATTTTGCCATCTATTTCTGCTCGTGAAGTTTCACCGAAAAGCTTTTAAAGGTTTTTAATATTAATAGTGTTCATTTGCTTTCACAGAATAATATAATGTACACAGTCACAGGGTAAACATTATTTTTATATTTGGTCAATGAAAGCAAATAGGTGTTTGCAATTACGCTGACGCGAGCATTTGATGATGTCTTGCTGATATATAGCTGTGATTGGGTGAAGTTTGAATCTGTCCTTTGTATTGAATACTCAGCACATGTGTCAATTACTCATTCAGATTTTGAAAGTCGTATCTGTGAACTGTGAAAAGACTCTACGGTTTCCGAAACAAAATGTCTTATTTGCGTAGATTGGTAAATTCTTGACCTCATTTTCATTGCTTTTATCAAATCTAAAATGACAGTACGCGCAGTCGAATCCTATTGAGTTGTTTCAGTTCATTTGAGAGAGACTGTTCTTTTTCCATGAAGCGTATACATCTCAAAGGAATGTATTAATTTCTTTTTGAAAACTTTTATAATCATGTGACATTTCTTAAATGCTCTGGCATTCACCTCATGCACAGACATTTATTTGATATTTATATCATCACACTTAAGTGCTTACGTTTTGAACACATTATCCAGTACATACCATTACAAATAATGCTTATAACGAATATATCTGAACTTTCGTTTATACTTTATACATGACTGATCGAAGCAGGTAAATGATTCATGTTGTTTACATGTCTAATGGTCCACAAGTAGAAACAAATTCGAGAGTCTGTAAATTGTATGATTTGACAGCGTGGATAAATTTTAGGGCGACGTTTTGAGCAGAGCTTTGCAATCACTCATGCTCATTATATCTTGGTGTCTAAGAAACTGAAAAATTGGAATCGCTAACTTAATATGTAATTTATGGCAGAGAGAGCATAGGTTGACGAGTAACCATTTCATCTCGATTTTGATTCAGAAAACATGTATTCTATACCAAGGGAATTGGAAGATTTAATGGTAGTGTTATCAAGTATAAACATTTCTTTCATCAGTTGGTCTTATCCGCTCAATTACTTTTAATAACATTGATATCACGCTCAAAGGAACTTTCTAATTAGATCCTATTAATCGATGATAAGCAAAAGAAAAGAATACATAACTGCCAGTGTCGTAAAAGAAGAAATGTCCTCGAATAGCGCTGGGTTCAAAAGCCACGATCGAGAATTACATAGAAAAGATAAGGTAGGGGTAAAGAAAGTTTAAAGATTATTGTTCAAGAATTTGTTTGAACGTTTTGGGTAGAATACGAAATTTTATGATTTTTGTAACTTAGAACCCTCTTAGAACCCGGAAGTAATATTCAATTAAAACCTCTGTCATCACAAAAGGATTACGTATGTGATAAATGTTCTTGCAAATAAGGAAACAAATAAAGTTAAACAAACTCGTATACTAAAATAAAATGTTGTAAGTAGGTGTTTAAAATTTCGAAAAATTACACATTCGTGCATTAAAATGCAGAAACCACTCGATTTTCTACTCAAAAGTAAAAGGGAGATATGAAATAAAAAAGTAAAAGGGAGATGTTAATTTATGCATTTTGAATATATTTTCAATTTATGTACAAAAACGAATAAGTTATTGACACTTCGTTTCAAAATAATGTTATGCAAAATTAACGGCATTAATATCACGGCAAATATAAAAATGGTGTACAGATTTTTCTTGGATGTAGACACTATGTTTTTGACGAATTTAAAAATTATTCGTATGCAGAGCAGTGAAAATGAATTAAAAAATCGGTTTTATTCAACAAAAAGAAAGAGAGCAAGGCAAATAAGTATTTAGAAGCAAAAAATTGCAAAGTAGATTATTTCCATTTAAAGAATACAAATAAAAATTCTCACTTCCATTTTGTAATATACTGCCTTTTTTCTCTTTCAATCATGATAACATGTTCCATATGTTATAGGTATTTTTGCCGGAAACTGAAAAAAAACCAAAAATGACAGAGAGAAAAAATGTAATAAAATTGACCTATTTGCGGTTTGTAAATATGGGATGAGGAATTTCAACCATAAGTAGCTGAACATTTTTGATATTATCTTGCCTTTTTAAGAATAGTCAACAAAATCTTCTCGACAACGACTCCAAATTTTTTATTTAACTTTGTCCTCAGATACCGTAAAGAACGCTTTGAAACGGGCGCAAGCCTAGGTATTATTATGGATAGACTCTATGTATTTCCTGAAATTGCTAAAGTGAACATTTGTCGGCGTTTGACTTCTGATACAAATTTTTTCTTAAAAAAAATCTGTTGTTCAAAGATTAGTTGAAATAATGTGTAGTACAATTTTTCCAAAATATGAGAAATTTTCGTGTAATTTTGCTTAAAATATTGGCAATTTTGAAAGAATTATTTTATCAAAAACCGCCACCAATTTTTCCTTACATTAATTCCTCGTATGTAGCGAAGAACGATAAAGGAAGTTGCAATCGAACAATTTCCGGAGTACTCTCTGTGTTTACAATAAGTGAAAATTGCAAAAGTGCATATTGGTGTTAGACATATTTTAATAGAATCTTTTTTTAAGTAGATCATTCAAAATATCGTATACAAGTTTTGGAAAAGAATAATGTAGTTAACATGCAATTTCAGCTAAAGTTAATGTAATTTAATATTTTTTCTCAAAACCGGTTTCAATTATTTTCTTTAAACTATTTCCCTGATTAGAACAAATGACTCTTAAAAATGGCTGAGATTCATTTTCTGAATTTTTGAAAATTGCAAAAGTTAGAAATGATGCGAGAAATGTGTTGTAGCACCACTAGTTTCCGAACGATTCACTTCTAACTTCATAAATAGTATATTGTATCGTTTTTCCCTCTGGAAGTTATTAGTATTTGTATACTCATGAAATGAATTATAGAGCATATATATTGAAAGGTTTAAAAAAATAATTTTATGAAATAATTCTATAATGTATCAACATTATTAAGTAGTTTTAATGACAATTTTCAGATAATTTTTACAATTTATTGTTAATAATATATTTTTCTGCTTTTAAGTTTTTCACCTAAAATTGAATATTCTGGCTTTTTAATAGTTGAAAATATTCTCTATAATATTTCAAATAAATTACTGTTTTGGCTGTGTGACTGTTTCACAACCTTCTTTAATTTTGTATACCTGTCCCAATCAAATTTTGTTTGTTCACAAATCTATTGCAATCTTCTTGTTCCAGCCACCTTTCAGAAGCAGAAGAATGATTTTGTGTTTCCAACAATATTTGATGTGAAGCCCTTTCTATTATCATGGAATTTTCTGATCATCAAATGAAATGCTCTAGCCGACAAAAACATCTTTTAAGAGGTGTGTATCAAAATACAATTACTCATCCCGAACTTCTATTTTGTAAGTATACAGTAGGTAATATCGACTTGAAAGAAGCAAGAACAAATGCAGTAGATACATTTAATTTTCTAACAAACAAAAATCTCTGACCCAAGAAACAAGAAAAGGTGTCAGACACTAAATATTTCGGAGTATTTTATACCTAAAATATGAAATAGAGATTTTTCTTCAGAATGAAATCTATTCATCAAAATTAGATCTTTAAATGAAATCGTGTAAATTTTTTTTTAAATACGACTAGTTTTCGCATAATATTAAATAAAATAAAGACAATTTTAAAAACAAACCTCAAAAAGAATTTCAAATGTTTTCTTTTTAACTTTTTGTACGGATGGTGCTAAATGCACTAAGTAACATGATATAAAACATTTTCTGTAAAAATGAGCTCAAAATTATTCATTTTCAAAAAGACTCAAAGAATATTTTCTCGAGATCAGCTCCAAATGTTTCAAATAAAATTTCCATAGAGGGTCATGTTTTACTCTTCGATAATATTAGTAAAGTTTTGTTTCAATTGTTTAGTATTTGGGACCAAAAAAATTAGAAAATGTGAAAAAATATCTTTTAGAGGTCGTTGAACAGCAACGTGGAAGAGGGTGGGACAATATCGAAAAGTAAAACTAGACTGAATAAATTAGAAAAGTAATTAATGCATGAAAATCTTTGCCATTCTGAAGCACCACTAATTTTTAATGATGACTTTTAAACGCAAGACTTCTGCAATACCAGAGAATTTAGTACCGACAAATTATTCTTTGCTAGGCGAAGTATGCGATTTTTCGATAATGTTATACCACTGGAATATTGAAAAAGATTAAACTTTACTCTCGAATCAAATTGGCAATCTTCAGTTTCGTGAATATCTAATCACAGATATTCCAAATAGTTCCAAAATATGCTTTATTTACATTTTTTGATGATTTAACACATTTAACTTTAAAATGTAAATACTCTAGTATTCAAAAAACTTCTTTGATTTTTTGCATGCTGCTTTGCAATTAAAATGTTATAATTTCCAATCTTTAAAAATAATGTAATTATAAATGTGACGGCATTCCTAATTATTCAGCCCATTGGAGTGTTAAAGAAATTTTGAAAATCTTTGAGAAAATATTACATGGACAAACAAACATTTAATGTGTTTACCTCGTGAGATTCACAATTTTCTAAATGAAATGAAAGAAAAAAATTGCATTACTCGATTTTTCAATAGACTTTGATACAGGTATTACACATAAGAAATATTAAGGTTCATGATACACCTAAGGAATATTGAGAGCAAAAGTAAAAATATAATAAGCTTATTTTCAAACGCATCACAACCCATTTAAGGAATCCTTTTCCAATTATAGTAATATTAATTAAATTAAAATATAAGTGTGATAATGCTTCTGGTTAGAAAGATCACAATGCTGTGTACCGTAGTGAAATGTAAAGTACCTCCGCATTGAAATTATACAATACTTGTAAAATACTTTTAGGTTAATGGTACAGATAAATAAATGTAAAATTACGAATTTCTCCCAAGTTGCAGCTCTTAAATGGAGAATTAATAATAAATCTAAGAGCAAATGAATCTAAGATTTATATAAACATCATCAAATGTAAATAGTAGTAACCAATTCCGAATTTTTTAGTGTTATTTTTAATACTTTACGCGGAGTAACACCAATTTCCTGGCATGTAATACATTTATACCATATCTACCAATATTTTTTCTTCAATGTAGAGCCCAGACCGTGAGAAAGTTTTATTTGAAAAATTTTATTTGGAAAAACTAAAATCTTCGTTACAAGTCTATTCTTTTGTTTCGGGTAGCTCGTCGTTTGTTTTTAATTCAATCGCTTCCCTCACGTGCCCCGCCGGGCGTGTGGGCGCGTGTTGCTGTCTGCGGTCGAGATGAAACGCTGGCAGGGCGATTCCTCCATAAAACACAGGGTGCGTTCCTTCAAATTGCACGCGCATTGAATCGTGGCATTGTGTGCGGTGAATGGGACGTCGTTTTAAGGTTTGCGGAACAATGATGTTCTGCAACGCACGCAGAAGCCATTTTCCGGTGCGGGCGGCGCGGCGCGACGCGGCCCGGCGCGGCGCTGCGTCGTGGGCGGGGCGCGCGTCCGCCCCCCCCCTCCCTTCGCCCCCTCCGCCCCCCTCGCAGCCTCCTCTTAGTCGCGTGGACCGCGTTATCGACGCGGCAGCGGCGCGCGTGCGGCGAGGGCCGCGCCGCGGGCGGGGCGGGGGACGGGGGGTGGGGGGCGCGGGGGGGGGCACAGCGCGCGGGCTCCCCGCCGACGCTCCGCCATTGGCCCGCGGCGCAGGCGTTATTAGCATTTCTGGTGAATTGACTGAGGGCTACTCCACGGAGGAACGGGCGGGGAAGGGGCGGCGAGGGGGAAGAGAGAGCCGGGCGATGCCAATGCGCGGCGCGCGCGGGCGCGGGCGGCGACGGGGGGTCCGAGCGAGGGGAAGGGCGCGGGAAGGCGAAAGTCGGGCGAGGGAGGGGAAAAATGTACAAGATGGAGGGCTCGTATTTTTCGTGCGTTTGAGCGGGCGGCTCCGCGGTTTCGGGCGCGCCGGCTGGGCCCGGGGGCGGGGGCGGGGCGGCACGGGCCGCGCGTCGTGCCGCAGCTGTTTTTAATTCGGCCGCGGACGCCAGATGGACTGGCAAACGCGCGGCGGGCGGGCGGGAGAGTCGCGGCGCGGCGAGCGGGATGGGGGGGGGCGCTGGTCCATTAGCCTCGCGACAGCGTCCGGTCGCGTCCGATATGAGCGCTCCGCTCCCGCGTCCCGCCCCGCGCCGCGCCCTCGGGCCGGCAGGCGGATTCAGGCCCGCGGCATGAGCCGCTGGTTTATCTGGCGGCGGTTAAGGGCGGCCGCGATTATTTTTTGACGATGCAAATAAACGCGCCCGAGGCGAGGTCAGGTGCGGGGCGGGGCGGGACGTGCCCCGCTGCGTGCGTCGCCGGGCGAAAGAGCCGCTTTTAATACCGATTTCACGGAATTAATAAGTTAGTTCTTGCGCGGCGTTTGACATGCCTGCCGCCGGCGCGATGTGGCTCCGCAAAAAAAAAAATTGGGTGGTGGTGATAAATATTAATTTCGCTGAACGCTGGGTGCTGAAATCCGTTGGGAAACATGTATTTCCAAAGGGGCTTTTATTGTCGCATATGCCTGCCTTCTCTAACAGCTTTGTTATGATTGGTCATGGGCTCTTCTTCTCGCTGTAATGCCTGTCATTTGCACCACCTGTGTGCCACTGCTGCTATAGATACCACTTCGCCGCAGCTAATTACCGACCACCTGGAAATTTGGTAATAATGAGCTGTCCGTTATATATCCTACACGTTTTTGCTTCGTTGTCATTTATCTTCCTCTTTCACAATGACATTCATGATGATGGGCAGTAACGGAATTATCCCAACTAAACCCTTTTACTGCATTATCATATTTTCAGTACAATCACAAGGCAATAAACGTGCGATTCTTGTGTTTATTCTTACCGAAGCTTGGTATGATATCAGTTTCATTGCTTAGATTCACGTAAACCTCCTTTAGAAGTTTCTGATTTCTATATATTTTATACTTCAGAAATGACACAATGATGTATATTGTTTTATTTTACAGAAGATTGAAATACAATAATAAACTTTTATGAAACTACTGATATACTTCCTGCTCTATAATCTCAATACTTACAAGTCAAATGCTCACTTCATTTCGAACTATTATTCGTATTATATATTACTAATTTCAAATGCACGCAGAAATTTAAAAAAAACAACTATAAAGCCACACGACATGAATAATCTTGGTCAATAGTCTTGTTGTGTAACCAGTAACTGAAGAAAAATTCAAATCAAGAAAACAATTTCCCCTTTGTCAGAAAAGCGCAAAAATACTGTATTATTCTACATATTCATTTTCTTCCCCTGACTCAAACACAGTATATCACTGCTTAAGACAACTGACGTCATGCGACAGCAAGGCTCTAAAGAAGAGACCGCCCGACGAATAAATACTCTATTTACGTGTTGCGTTATGAAACAGTAATTTTCATACTGTTGGTGAATAAAGAACTGTTGTACTGTGTATACTAAACCACATTATTGCAGTATTTGTAAAGACAATTTTTTTTTAATATTTAGTTTATTGGAGTGTTATACAGAGTTTTCTTTGTTTTCCTTTCTTTGGCAATGTGCCTCCTTGTATTCAGAAAATTGTTTCGCGTGGTTGGTTCCGTACATTTTTTCTTACTGCAGGCTGTTAGTTTATGTTATAATCATGTTAACTGTATCATTGTAATATTTTATTGCACTATATTGCAATATCTTGCAATATTTCCATGGCCCCATAACCTGTATCTTGTAATGATTTCTTTATCGTTTTACTCTATTTGCTACAGAAGCAGCTGCTAATACCTCTGAGACAAACTGTAGATTAAACTAATGGTGCTATAACAGCACATACTTTCTTATATTATTTGTAACGCACCATTACAATACTACAGAGTGCAAATGTGTATTCAACCAGCATTCAGCATTTTATTCTCCCACCTGGGATTTGAACTCAGATCCTTAGAGCACTCTCGTTAAGGTACCCCTGCACTATCTACCTCACAGCAATACTCCTTCTCGACGCCTAAAAATGATGTACTACATTTGTATATTTTCCATTTTTCAACAATTCAAAGGTTTTCATTTATATTTGCACCATTTATTGTTGCAATTTTCAAAAATTAAACATGCCACATTTTTAAGAATAAGAAATAATTTAAAGTTGATTTGAGATTTTTTTATAAATTGCATTAACGTGAAGCAGAAATTATGGGATAACTTCTTGTTTACTCAAAATAATTGTATCAGTCCTTCTTTAAATATCTATATTTTTAGAACAGATTCCATTTACCAATATAACAACAATATATA